TGAAGCGGCTGCGGGCTTTGGACTCCGGGCCCCGCATGCCAGAGCACAGTGCGGGGTCGGCGCCTTCCCGCGCCGTCCCTGCGCTCCTGGGGCGACGCCTTTGAGCGGGTTACCGTGCTGCACCCCACGTGCTCGGCGCCCCACCGCGCTCAGTACGTATTGTACTCAGTACCCCACCCATCCTCCCTGCTCCTCGGGGTGACGCCCTCGGTGAGCGGATTACCCCACGAGCACCCCACCATCAGCCCGTAATCAGTACCCCAGCCGTCCTCCCGGCACGCTCCTGGTATGACGCCCTTGATGAGCGGATTACCCCACAACACCCCACCGTTCTCACCCTTCGGGAGCTCTCACAGCCCGTCCGAGATGAAATGCGCTTCTTGGAGGGAGACAGTATTCGCTGTCTTTCGCAAACTTACCTGACATAAGGACAAATTGTGTACCCACACTTAGTATGAACTCAGTAGCTGAGTAGGCAAGGACAGAGAAGATGACGCAGGCTTAAGTGCGAACTCTATTGCTGTTTCTCGGATCCTCATTGTCTGGTCCTGTGCCTCAAGGCGGGGACCGGGAACCTGAGCAGCTTTGGGCTGAGTGCTGGGAGATGAAGCATTGTTTGCGCTGTGACACACCACAGTTTTGTGCAGACCCTCCCCATATGAAAATACGCAATACTATTTCAGCTTTGCAAACTAGTTGAGGAATAAAACTTGGAAAGGTGGAGAAAGATTGGAGTGTCCTGACTTTTTTTTTTTTTCCAACACCTATAGCACCTAGTCTTCCTAGGTGGTCTCCCATGCAAGTACTAACCAGGCCTGACCCTACTTAGCTTCCAAGATCAGACATGGGGCTTGTTCAGGGTGGCGTGGCTGTAGAGCATGGACCTTGACTCCACTGGGGCGTGAACCTAGGACCTTCTGCGTGTAAAGCAGGTGTGCTAACTGCTACACTATGGAGCCATGTCCCAGTCCAGTTATTTTTAAAGACTAACTTTAATTTCAGGAACATGAGTTTCTGTTGGTTTCATTAAATTTGAATGCTCAGTTTACTAAGTACCAAATATTTGCTGTGTTTGTTATATGTATGTCACACATATATGTACATGCATATCAGAGCTGCTTTTAACCAAGCTCACACGTTCCATTTGAAACAAATATAGCACTACCATTTACATTTTTAGATTTTGGAATAATTGTACAATTATTGAGCTATTTATTTTGAGAACTACAGTTTTGAGAAATTGTGCATACAAATCTGTCACGTGCAGTTATAACAAATAGCACAGAAAGGTCCCCGTGTCCATTCACCCAGTTTCCTCCAGTGGTAAAAAACTGCAGCACAATATGACAACCAGAAACTGACATGGATAACAGTCAAGATACAGAGCATTTCTGTCACCACCAGGGACTCTGTGTTGCCTTTTCCTAGCCACTCACTCTTCCCTCTTGCTTCCAACTCCTCAGCTCCTGGCGACCACTACTGTCTTCCATTTCTATAATTTTGACATGTTGAGAATGTTATGTAAAGAGAATCATACAGGATACAGCCTTTGGGTTGGCTTTTTCCACCTAGCATAATTCTCTGAAAGGTCAGGTAGGTTGTTGCCTACATCTGTAGCTTGTTCCTTTTTATTCCTCCAGTCTCTGGATGTACCACAGACGGTTTATCTGTTCACCCATTGAAAGACATCTGGATTGTTTTCATTCTTTGGCTGTTATGAATAAGGCTGCCACAGACTTTCAGATACAGGTGTTACATGAACATCGGTTTTAATTTTCTCTGGGATAAATGCCCAAGAGTGCATCACTAGGTCATGTAAGTTGCACGTTTACTTTTTAAAGAAATAGCGAAAGTGTTTTCCAGAGCAGCTGGACCATTTTATGTTCCCACCAACAATGTATTTGTGATCCAGTTTCTCCACATCCTTGCCAGCATTTGCTGATGTGACTTTTTTATTTTATCCGTTCGCATAGATGTATAGTAATGTCTCATTGTGATTTTAATTTGCATTTCTCTGATGTCTAGTGATATTGAACATCTTTTCGTGTGCTTATTTGCCATCCATATATCCTCTTCAGTGAAATGCCTGTTCATATCTTTGCCCATTTTGTAAGTGGATCATTTGCTTTTTTTTTTAATGTTGAATTTTGATCATTTCATATATATTCTAGTCCTTTGTTGGATATGTGTTTGCTAATATTTTCTCCTAGTCTGTAGCTTGTCTTTATTTTCTTTTGCAAAGCAAAAAATTTTAATTTTAATGAAGTCCAGTTTATCAATCATGGCTTGCACTTTTGGTGTCAAGTCTAAGAACCTTTTGTCTAGCTCTTATTCCTACAGATTTTCTCTTATGTATTTTTCTAATTTTCACAGTTTTGAGTTGTACATTTAAATCTATGATCCACTTCTAGTTAATTTCTGTGTAAAGTGTAAAATCTCGAGTGAGTGGTTTTGTTTGTCTGTTTATTTTTGCCTATGGATATCCAGCCAACAGCATTTGTTGAGAAGATCACTCTTCCTCCATTGAATTTCTTTTTTGCATTTTTGTCAAAACTTGATTGTGTTTTTGTGGGTGTGTTTTCTAGTTCTCTGTTCTCTTCCATTGGTCTTTTTTATCTATCTCATCATCAGTACCACACTTGATTGCTGCAGCTACATAATAAATCTTGAAATCAGATGGATTGATTCATCCCACTTTTTTCTTCTTTTTCATTAATCTCATTCCTTTGCCGTCTCATAAACTTTAGAAAAATCTAATCTATATCTACAAAAAAATCTCATTGGGATTTTTATAGGAATTGTGTTATCCCTGTATATCAGTTTGGAGATAATCAGCATATTTGTTCAGTCTTCCAATCCGTGAACACAGTATGTCTCTCCATTTTTTTTTTTTTTTTTACTTTTTTTATCAGTGTATTGTAGTTAGCATACGTTTTGTTAGGCTTACACTATTTCCTTTTTGAAATTTTTGGTTTTTATGTGTTCATTGATAGTATGTAGAAATATAATTAATTTTTGTGTGTTTATCTTGTACCCTGTGACCCTGCTGAATTCACTTTTTAGTTCTGTTTTGTAGATTCCTCGAGGTTTTGTACATACACGATTATGTCATCTGGAGTAGTTTATTTCTTACTCTCTGATCTGTATGCCTTTTAGTTCCTTTAGTTTCCCTGGCTAAGACTCCAGTACCATGTTAAATAATAGGTATGAGAGTGGACATCCTCGCCCTGTTGCCAGTTTCAGGAAGAAGTCTTTCACCATCAGGTACAACGTTAATTGTAGGCTTTCGTGCGTGCTTCGTATCAAGGTGAAGTTCCCTTCTATTTCTAGTTTTTTTATCACGAATGGGTGTTGAATTTTGTCTAGTGCTTTATCTGCATCTGTTGATATGATCATGTGATTTTTTTCTTCTCTAACCTGTCAATATGGTAGGTTACATTGTTTTTTGTTTTGGAGTTTTTTGTTTTTGTTTGGGATTTTTTAGTTAGTTTGTTTTCAATATTGAACCAGCCTTGCATCTCTAGACTAAACTCCACTAGGTCATTGTGTATAATTGTATTTATGTGGTGCTTAATTCTCTTTGCTGTATTTCATTAAGCATTTTTTTTTTTCTTTTTTGGCAATCTTTTGTCTGGGTTTGATATCAGGGAAATACTAGCTGCATGAAATGAGTTGGTACGTATTTTCTGGAAGCGATTGTGTAGAATTGGAGTTAAATCATCTTTAACATTTGGTCGTATTCTCCAGTGAAATGATCTGGGCCTGGAAATTACTTTGTCAGGAGCTTTTTAATCACAAAATAAAGTTTTTTAATAGTCGTAGGGCTACAAAATTATCTGTTTCAAATGGGTGTGTTGTGGTACTTTGTACTTTGTTGAGTTTTTCTATATCTTTGTTGATCTTATGTTTAGTTGTTCTGTCCCTTTGGAAGAGGGGAGTTAAAGTCTCCAACTATAATTGTGGGGTTGTCTTTTCCTCCTTTCACTTTAATTGGTATGAGTCAGATGTTTTGCACTATGACGGTTGGTGCACATACATTTAGGATTGCTGTATCTTCTGGGTGGATTGCCCTTTTATCATTATGTAATGGCCCTCCCTGTCTCCGGTAATTAATTTCCTTTGCGCTGATGTCTACTTTATCTGATGATAATGTAGATAGCCCTGGTTTCCTTTGGTTAATGCTTGTGTGGTATATAATTTTCATTCTTTTACTTTCAACATTCCTGTATTCTATTTGAAGTTTCTGGTAAACAGGCATACAGTTGGATCCTGTTGCATTCACTTTGCCAATCTCTTGTCTTCTAATTGGTGTATTTAGATCATTTACAGTTAATGTAGCTATCGGTGTGTTATGACTTAAGTCCACTGGTTTATTTTTTATTTTCTATTTTGCTTTGTTTCTCTGCTTTCCTTTCCCTGTCTCGTCATGGGTTACTCACGTTTTGAAATTCCATCTTTATTTATATGTAGTATTTTTGAGTATATCTCTTTGTATAGCTTCTTTAGTGATTGTCGTGGCATTACATTATACATACAAAACTTCCCTC